ATTCATTGTTTATTGTCATCATGTCTTAGACACAAATTTGAAATTTAGGTTGAGTTTGATAAACATGTTGGATGTTTTGCGTTTTGAGATAAAGATTGTACCACACTCCTTCAAATGATAGATGAATAATTAAAACATATCATGAAAGTTGTAAGTTTCATAAGCAATTACCTTTCAACTTTTTTTGAATTTGGTTTAAGATTGACCTCCATTCAATGTCTACTTTATTTGTGAAAAGGCAAGAGAGGATCACCCTAATACATATTTGTCACAATTTAACAAGCTTTTGGACAGATAGTTATCATTTCAAATCAAGTATCAACTTTTTTTTCAACAATACTCAATTGTGAAAATCAAGTATCAACCATTTTTTTTAACAATACTCAATTGTAAAATTCAATAAGGATGATGATGTTATACAAAGTTTAAAAGACTATCTCAACCTAAATGAGGTAGTATCACTACCTAATTTATAGATAAACACTTTCTCAAGTGTATTGTTTTCTTTCAAAATTGTCATCAACTAAATCTAACCTTTTTATATATTCATCCTTCATATGTTGACAACATATATCACATGTTATTATACTATACAATGGAATATCCAATCCAAATGATTTCAAGATCAACTAAGTGTATGTCCTCATTTTTTATCACCTATATCACTTATGATTTTTTATTACTATTAGAAAATCCAACAACATTCTTTGATTGATATATAAACTAATTGAAAATGAACATAACTATTTTGATATTTGTATGAAGTTGAGCCAATCTGCATGCTTCATCTTGGCTATATAACCAACCACATTTGCCCACTAATCTTGGAATTTATCAACCAACTCCGCCAATACTTCTCCTTAAAGGGTTGTTATTTTAACTGGCTTTGATGATCTCTCTGCAGATGACTTCTTAACTTTAAAAGAGTTGACCACTAAAGTTAAATACCTTAAGAATGAGTGATCATGTGGCTCTAATATCGCATCCTCACTTTTTACTACATCATATTGTTTTAATACATCTCTAAGGGTATTGTGTTTTCTTTTTATTTGACATCTCTTACCATTATAATAACGGTTTTTAATTTTTCAATAGTCATGGACTATCACAATGGATCAACACAACTAACATAGATTTATCCCAAAAAGGGATCTCAGATAGAAATCATTTTAACTAACTTGCTTCTTCACTAACCGTTGTTGATATTATCATTTTAGACTCCATCGTGGATTGAGCCAATATAGTCTGTTTCTTTGATTTTCAAGATATAGCTCCTCCAACTATAGTGAATATATAGTCTCTAGTTGCTTTAGAATTATTTGATAAGGGGATTTTATATGCATCATTGTATCCTTTAAGTATAATAGGAAATCTTTAATAATGTAGAATGAGATCCATAGTCCTTTTAAGGTATTGCATGACTCACTCAATAGTTTATCAATGCTCATTATTCGGTATACTAGTAAACTTGCACAAAGTTCCACGACATATACAATGTCGGGTATAGTACAAACAATTACATACTTAAGATTGTCTAATATTATCGTCAATGTTCGTAAATAGTTTTACCCTTGGATTTTATGGCGTGCAAGCAAGTTTAGGTTCAAATTAATTATATTTCTTTAATATCTTCTAGACATAGTGAGATTGATCCAAATATATTCCTTTCCCGAATCTAGTAATCTTGATTCCAAGAATCATATTGAATTCTCTAAGGTCTTTCATACCAAAGTTGTTGCACAACAGTGATTTAACAACATTCACAACATGAATATTTAATCTGAATATGAGTGAATCATGTACATAGAGACATGTGATAATGCAAATGTTATTTTTCAGATTTGTAATAAACACAATTGTCATTTTCATAAGTTCAAGGTTGTGTTAAATCTAGAGAATCTATCTCACTATTAATAGCTTCTTCTGACAAATCTGCATCCGGAGATGACAAGGCTTCTTGAATATTTGTTGAATTTTCTTCTACTATCTAGGCGACATAATTGGTTCCATAGTCTTTAGAAACTCTTAATCTTTCATTTCTTCGAAAAAATTATACATAATTGTAGATTTTAGTGATTCTTATCACAAGAATGTGATTCAATTAAGTGTCATTCCCCTTATTATTTCTCGATTTGAAAGAAAATTTTGTTTTCATAGAATTCAACATAATTTGATTCTATGATTACTTAAGCATCTAGGTCATAAAATATATATGCTTTAATGTTTACTACATACCCAATGAAAACACATTCATAGACTCTACTGGTGATTTTAACTTGCCTAGGATCCAAAATTCTAATATAAGCCAAACAACCCCAGGTTCTAAAATAAGACAAGTTTGATTGTCTTTTCTTCAATATCTTGCGAGATATTATTTCTATATTTGGAAAATCTATCTAAAACATAGCAAACAATCAATAAAATTTTCCCCCACCAATGAGATGCATCACCAAAATTCAACATAATAGCAATAACTAATTTACTAAGTGGTCTGACCTGATCAGAACGGGATCACAAGTTGGCCGCACTCTGTTGGACTGCTGCCTGTTCACCGGTGATGAGGAGGAGGGGGTGTACCTGCAAGGCACTCCGATGCCAAAGTAAGTATATGGGCAGAGTGGTCACAAGCACATAAAAAGGGGTAAGAAGTGAATTACCTGACCCTCTTGTGGAAGAGGGTATTTCTAGAGAGACCTCAGCGTTGGCCCAACAGTCACTTGTGTTAGGCTGGATCGCCAGGTCCAACCCAGGCGACTGCTAGGGCTTACGTGGTGTAGTGAAGACCAGGACGTGGTCTTCGCCCTAGTTCAACTGCTCCGTGAACTCCGGAAAGTGGGTTGACCTGCTCTTTCGGAGGTGGGCAGTTGGTGGATGACGTGTCCCCGCGGAGGGTAGCACGTGGAGAACGTGTGAAGGACACGTTGTCCTGCCCGCGGAGCGGGCAGTGTTTGGCCGAAAGGGGAGTCTCTTGTCCGACGTAGTTGGGGCAGGTCCTGCCTGCGGGGGACATTTCCTGCTCGTTGGGGATCTTGTGCCCGGCGCTGTGGCCCAAGCTGGACTGGGCCCGCGTTGCCAGGCCGGGGCCCAGGCCAGAACACTAAGAGTACTATTTTTTTCTTTCTGCTTTACCACTTATTTCAAGAGAATATAATGCAGTGGTTGCATGTTTTATTCCATGTGTTTATAAAATTCATTAAATAAACTAAAATCATACTCAGTTCTCCTATCACTACGAAACCTCGTAACTTTCTTACCAAAATAATATTTAATTTCATTCACAAAAATCTTAAACATATCAGGCGATTCACGTTCATTCTTACTAAATAGATTTTCAATTTCATTCATAAAAATCTTAAACATATCAATTTCATTCATAAAAATATTATTTTTAGTGATGGTGTACAAATCTACCTCAATAGAATGACTAAGTCATGCCTTATTAAGAAGAAATGTAGAAAAAAGACTTTTTTTTTTTTAATATTAGGGACATGACATCCTTTAAAATCAAAGTCTTTATGAAGGTGAACTTCAGATTCACGTCTCCAATACCAACAACATTAGTGGTGTGAACATCTTCCAACAAAACTTTCTTGTCTTAAATATTAGTGTATGTTTTAAATATTGCACGATCACAACAAACATGATGAGAGGTGTCGTATTTATCCACCAGGTTTATGCATGTTCATACAGTTTTTTAGTCATATGACTTGTTTTTCCCCAGTTCTAGTAAGAGAAAACACAAGCATCATTTTTTTTTAGTTGGTCGCTGTTGTCTTGTAATTGGAGTAATTGGGGGTGGTCTTAAAGGGTTCTCATTCTCAACTTAAGTTCACAACATTGCGATTGTAACTCTTTAACGACTTTACAGATGGGTTCAGAATCACGCAAAATTATTTTTGTTGTTTGAAACAATTAAGAATTTTTCTTTTTGATCTTGTCTCCGAGATTCTTCTTCAATTCGAAGGTGAGTAATCAGACTATCAATTAAAATTTATTTTGTTTTATAGTGAAACAAATTTTTAAAATCATTTAAATTAGAGCCAGTTTGTCAATAATAAAAGAAATTAGAATTGTTCATCTAAAGGCATGCCTTTAATGATGATTTTATGAACAATCTTTTGAATTTCATGGCATTGAACCTCCAGTAGCTATTAACATCATACTTCTTCGCTTCATTCTCTTTAATGTCATTCTTCTTTTTCTCATTTGTCTTATAGTATTACAGCTATTGTAATAATCATATAGATCACCCGTGGATTTATTCAAAATATGATTTTTGGAGAGATAATCATTATTTCCATAACTCAGCTCAATACTGATGCAATTGCTATTATCCAATAGATAATTGTTCTAAAAATACACTCTCCATGATACAAAAATCACTCTAAATAATTTTTCAGACGAGGAGAAATTAAAAATTTTCTCTAGAGAGAATTTAATAATGGTCATTTGACCACTTCAAATAATGAGAAATCTAATAATTCTCTAAATAGAATTAAAAAAAAAACTTAAAAATTCAACGGGCGGGGTAAAAAGAGTATGGAAGGTATGTAATCTAAGTAGCATGGGACTTAAAATTTTTCCTTTTCTTATATAATGTTAGAAACTAACTTTAGTGTGTAAACTAAGCAATGTAGAACATAAAATTTTCTCAATTAACGCATAAACACAATTTTCATAGTTTTGTAACAACGAATTTAAAGAATATTTTCAAATTCATCCCCATATTAAAATTTTTACATGTTACAACATACATCATATCTATCTATACTACATAAAATATATTCAATGCTTTATATTCAATAAAAAAGAAAAAGAGAACTACATATTTTTCACATTAATTTTGTTCACACCTTTCTTCTGACTTGTCCATCTCTATCTTCTTTTCGATTCAATGGTTGAAACTTCTCAAAGTCCATAGCTTCTTTATTTTTATTTTAATGGTTAATAATCACTTTTCCCAAACTGAAAAGAAAAGAAAACCTCAGAAGGATAAGTGATCATAAGCTGGAAACCGGCATGTTAAAGAAGGTAGCATGAGTAAGATAAAGCAAATTTCCAGTTTTCTTCAATTTGAACTCAAGTGCAACTACAGTCAAATTTCTTCCCCTCTTCACCACAGAGGCATTAGCTACCACTTCTTCCTGGACATGAATAGAGTGCAAATTCCATTTATTCAGTGTTCAAGCATGAAGAAGGCACATGGACATAAAAATTACACACTAGAGTTGGACTTCCCAGTTAGCAACAGGAATGTCACTTTAACAGTAATGGTAATGAATGACGAACTCAAACATTTTTTATATAAGGGATTTTGATAGTTCAATTGTTGTTCTAAATTGCAAAATTCACCTTACCAATATTACATATTCAGTAACTGCAAAATCATTCCCATCAATTAGACCATAGGAGTCTCAAACTATATATTCTCTTCTTGTTATCTTACCTGCAGAACCTGTACTTATAAGCTTGTTTTTCAAGTCCTTCCTAAGAAAGTAAGAAACCAAAGAACCAAAAAGTATAACCACCAATCACAATCCTTTATGGATGCAGCCATCCTGTTAAAAGATTGAGGGTCTTAATCACACTAAACCAAATTACAAAGCAATTCTAAGAGGAAATACTATGCAAATGAAGTAGTTTCTTGCTTTTTAATGTCTTCAGCTCTGGTATGCTGTTTCAAAATGCATCTGAGGATAAATCAACGCATTTCCTCAGACAGCACAATGAGACATTCTAAAGGGTTGAACTCTACGGTATTTATCTAACATATATGAAGCACATACTTCAAAAAGGTCAAAGTATCGGTATGATACTGATACGCAGTAGTGTGTTTGAAACCACAGTCAATTGGACTTCGAACTTGTGCTCAATGCAAAACTATGCTTAAAAGCTTCATATTAATATATGATAAAAATGTTGCAAACATGAAAACAAACACAAGCTAGTATTGCCATGGAATTAATAGGAAAGAATCAGAAATGTAAACAAGAACTCACATCCACAGCAGTGGCAGAGAGGTATGAAATGCTAATTTCCCCAAGAAAAAGTTGCTTGTCCTCAGCAACTACAGTTCTAGCACAAGCAATAGCCAAAACCTCAACCAAGGACGCAACAGTCCCTCCATGCAGTGTTCCGTAGGCATTCTACAATTCCAGCAAAGAAAGTGAGAAAACTCCAGTCTCCTCGCATAATTAGGTCAAAATTGATCAACAAAGAGTAAATTGATAGAATTAGGGTAAATTAATATAGGGTTCTTCATGGAATAACCACAACTACAGCATAGCATAAAGTAAAAAATTGAAAGAAAGAGAGGAAATGAGGTTACACAGATTGGTGGTTTAACGATAAGAGTACAAGAGATTCGACCAGGTTGGATTTGATCGACTTTGATGAAATTCCGAAGGAAAGAGTCGAAGAAGCCATTGGTGTTGCAGTTTTCAGGAACGGGAGCGCCACTACCCATAAACTTAACAAAACTTTGAGTCTCGGAAACGGATTTTGGGTCCATTTTCGGAGTTATTTTAACCGACGCAGTTTCAGGCACCATGGTAGTGGTGGAGAGAGAAGGCTTAGTAGCCATGGTAGTTGAGTTTTTTTTTTATTATTGTTATTATTATTTTATTATTAATTTATCACTGTTATCACACGTGTGAAACATGTGAAACTTTTTTGGACATCAAATGTGAATTACTTCAAAATATTTTATAATTAATCCACTTTGTAATATTTTCGTTTGTTGTTTCTTTTAATTTTGTACATTTTTTAATTAATAATTAGTTATGTTAATTTTTCATAACGTGTGAGAACTAGACTTGTTTGACCTAGATTTTCTATGTGGTGGTGTAAGTTGTTTAGACGCGGTTGTGAGAAGGTGTATTTTTAAATTTAATATTTTAACGTTTAAGTTAGGGAGTGAATAAAGAGAAATATAGAGAATTATATATAGAATCATAAATTTGGTCGTAAGCGTGGTGGTTTATACATCTTCTATGACAGTTGGGCTTATGCGGTATTAGGCATGTGGAAGTCATTTGTCTTCAAAGCTTGTCATTGCGTGATTTGCTGGAATCCTTTTAAAGAACGGGGTCGAGTGTCCTTCGTTGGGATTTTATATTGAGAAGTGGAAGAGATTTGAGGACAGCTGCATTATGCATTGTTGTTCTTTTGATTGACTCTTTTAGGTAAAACAACATATGGGCAATACAAGATGTAATTTGTGAATAGGCATCATGTTGGACAAGATGTTCCAGCATGACCGCATCATTTGGTCTCAGTCTGTAAGTCAAGTTACGTGAGTAAATATGTGTGTTTTTTATTGGCTACAAGGAGATTTGTCATTTATGAGTTGTAATTCTAGCAATATGTTTTTTTAAGGAAGATTAGCTAAAAAGATTGTCCAAAACCAAATCAAATTAAAAGAGATCAAATCTCTTGATAGAAATTAATGTATAGCAAATTAAATCTACATCAAAATTAAATCTGGTTGGTTTCAATTCATATGTCCAGACCCAACAAATATTTTGCTATATAAGAAGACTAATTCCTAACAAGAACAAGAGTGCAAGAATTGAAGATCTAGTGTGTTAGAGTTTGATATTTGAGTTATTGTTATTAATTGTGCACCTCTATAACGCCTAAGTTACATATCAAAGACATAAAGGTTGATGAAAGTACAATCATGGTATCGTATGGTATCGCTTATTATTTTGATTTTTTTGTCAATTTGAATGTAGTTGTTTTAGTTTATTTGCATATTTGTAATTTGTTTCTCATTTAATATTCGTGTGTTTATACTTTATTTGTTTTTCATTTGAATTGTATTCGCTTCGGCTATTTTGTTGTTGTATCACTAAGAATCATCCTTGCTCAATTGAATAAGAGTCTTTTGATCCATGATATTATTATTTTTTTAGCATAGAAAGTTGCTACTTTGTCGTTTCATCGAGCGTGACTTGAATCACAAGTTAAAACTTTTAAATCTAGATGTTGAGTTACTTTATTCAAATCAAGTGTTAATCATGACTCAAATCAGAAGTTTTATGAAAATTAGGAATTGCCTTTGGACAAATTGATTCAAATTACAAAATGAACATGATTTGAATCATAACCTCATGTGATCTGAATCAAGTTAAAATCCTGATTCGAATCAAATGTCTCCATGATGTTATATTTAGGCTCTGCTCAAACTGATTTGAATTTTCTTCTTGAGTCGAATCAAAGCTTCACAAGACCCATTTTCCATCCTTAATTTAAATAGTTATTTCTTTGTTGAAAGCAACAAGTGTGTGAAACATATGGGTGAAACCCATAGAGATAAAAATGTTAATTTGTCTTCTCTCATTAGTGTGTTTATATCCATCACCATGAATCTTTCTCTTCCTCTATAAAAACAACCTCTTGAGTGTAATCCATGTCAGACTCACTTATTTTTGTTGCATCTTATTCTTATGAATTAGAGAGAGTGAGTTGATTAATCTTGTTGTGATGTTCATGATTAATCAAGCTCATGATAGCAATTAAGAACCAATACTCATTTACCCAGAAATTTGAGACAACCTAATGTGTGTGTGTGTGTGTGTGTGTGTGTTCTTCATTCACATTCATTTAATCCCTTGACTAACACCTTGTGTTTTTAAATTTTTTGTAAGATATTCTGGCACTATTCATCATTAGTCTTTTTCTATTATTGAGGACCTTCATCTCTAAAGATTGAATGTTGAAGTAGACTAGTGGTACATTAGGGTATCTAATATTTTTGTGTGAAGTTTGTTGTTTGTAACAGGTGCAGGTATCACTTCTTGAATGCAATTTGGTTTTTATTATTGTCTATCACGGGGAAAGTTCCAATATACTCCAAGGAAGACTTTGGCGATATCAAGTATCAACTGTCCGTAAGATGGAGTTGGAAGTTATTGGTCTTTGGTGAAGTTGGAGAAGGATTTCTTCGAGACAAAGTTGAGAGTTTCCCAATCAACTTTTAGCTAATGACAATCGCTCAGACAAGAAATCGGTGGGATCAGGTGGATTGCCAAACCCAAATACTTGGAGCATGTTATTGTGGATAACAATGTTATTGGATTAAGATCTTTTAGATTGTATTTGTTAGCAGTTTGAGTGTGTACATCAATAGAGGGAATTATCGTGTGACAGTTCATTGTAACTAAAATGCTTGTATCAAACTTATCAAAATAGTGTAAGATCGTGATTATTTTCCAGTGGTTAATTAACACCATTGAAGATTGGAGTAGGCAAAACGATGACAAACTCCAAACCACTATATATCTCTATGTATCTTTTCTTCTTCTTGTATCTCCTTTATTTTACTAGTATACACTAATATCTCTCTTGTATTATTTCATAATTGCATTAGTTGTATGCCACATAACTTAAATTATGCTTATAGAGATTTAATGCATTAGCCTAGGTCTGTGGTGTATCAATCTTATAGAATTATCATGAACCTAGTTATGGCTTGATAGAATATATATGTGAAGAGATTTTAAATCACTTTGTTTAAAGTGACTTTGATTGTCTTGTGATTAACTTACATTAGAAGCAATCAAGCACTTAGTAACATCTTGTATTATTTCATTTGGTACAATTCATTGAGATGCTTACAAGTTCTCTTGTTTCTTTGTTTTGCTTATGTGCCTCTTAAAATCTTTGATTTCGTATCTAGGACCTAAATTGTTTTTGAAATTGTCTTAAGGGAAAAGGGTCAACTCAACCCCCCCCCCCCTCTAGAGACATCTTTGTGGGCATATTCTCACACAACAATTAATTTGTTATTTGATTTGTAATTCAACGTTCTTTAAACATGTTGTATGCATTGATCACTAGGATTATTGATTAAGAAAAAGTGAGAGGGGTTCTAATATTTAGGGAGAGTCTTAAATAGAAAGACATGGGTAGTATTAGGTAGAGAGGCATTGAAAAAAGTTTGTTCATCTAAGACTATTGTACTAATAATATTGAGAGTGAATTTCTTTTCTTAGGTTGGAAGCCCCCAGACGTGGGTGAGGTTGCACCAGACTGAGTTAACAATCCTTTGTATTCTTTATTGCTTTACGATTTATTTACTAGTATATGTTAATTTGTTATAAGAATGTTATACACATAGTCCCAAACATTGCGTCTAACATCATTCATGCAAACCATAATTTAATATGCTAGTCTCATCATTGAAATGTTTCGTATGTTTCCCTTCATATGTGGCCCTAGGTTCGTAGGTTAGGGCGCGAAGTTTCCCCCTAAGTTGCCTGAGTGTACTCAAGTGTTGTTATATTTCGAGGTGAAATATGATCATTGTTTTTTATCTTTTCATTTTCTTTCATTATGCATCGTTGATTCACCCATCATGTGTTAGACGAAGACAACTTATCTAAAGGGTGAGTATGGTACCATGTTCTCAACAAGGGAGGAGTTTAAATATGCAAATGCAAAGTCTGTTGTTAATAATGGTAGGGATTTATGCTTTATAAAGAATTATAAGACAAGGGTTATAGTGGGATGCAAGGAAGGTGTGGATGGTTGCATTATGTTCCAAATTGCCAAAATAAGGATACATGGCAACTAAGAAAATTGAATGACACTCACACATCCAATAGGGAGTTCAATGTAAGGATGTTTAACACTAAGTGGCTTGGGAAGAAATTGTATTCAACTATCAGGGTTAATCCAGCTATGAAACTTACTACAATATGTGAGAAAGTACATGATAAATATAATACTGGTATGAGTACGATGAAGGCTTATAGGACAAGGAAGTCAACACTTAATTAAGTTGAAGGGTCATTCAAGGAACAATATCTTAAATTGTATGACTACACACATGAGTTTCTGAGATCAAATCCAAACAACACAATTCAGTTGAAAGTTCAACCAACTAAACCACAAACTGAGGAAAATGAGCAACGACATGAGAACTATATCAGCCGACTATTATTTCCAAGTTTTCAGCGACTATATATGTGCCTTGATGCTTGTAAGAGAAGTTTTTATGTTATTTTTTTTACTAACTATAAGAGTTGATGGATGCTTTCTCGAGGATCATTATGGAGGACATATTCTTGCAGCACTAGGTAGAGACTCTAAATATCAAATGATGGTCATTGCATTGGTTGTGGTTGAAGCAGAGAATAAGGACTCACGGGCTTGGTTCATTGATCTTCTAGTTCAAGATTTAAGAGGGCCAGAAGTTGCAAATAATTCACTTTCATATCAGATCAGCAAAAGGTATATTTAACTTTAACAATAGCATTTACTCATTAGTATTTTACTAACTTGAACTGCATATTTAACTTTGTTTCTATGCGTAAGGGTTGATACCTGCATTGGAAGAGTTGTTACCTAAAGTTGGCCAAAGATTCTGTGTAAGACACTTCTACAACAACTTCAGAAATATGTTTCTTGGAAATCAGTTGAATAAAATGATGTGGAGAGCAGCCAAGGTAACATATCCTCAATCATGGAAAATGGAGATGAATGAAATGAGGAAGGTTAATGAAGAGACCTACAAATACTTTTTAATTCCTTCTAGATTTTGGAGTAAGTTTAGGTTCAATTACAATAATATATGTGATGTGTTGATAAACAATATATCAAAAGCATTTAATAGTGTTATAATTGGACTAAGATAAAAGTCTATTGTAACGATGCTAGAGGAGATAAAAGGGTACCTTATGGATAGATGGACAACAAATAGAATCAAGAAGTTTATAATTGTTTTATACTTTCAAGAATTAAAAAGGTGTTGGAAAGACAAACTAAAATATCAAGGTTCTTTATGGCTAGGTAATTCAAGAATCATTGACTTAACTCATAATTCTATTTTATGCCTACCAACTAAATCATTGCATCTTACTTTTTAACGAGGCTTGTCGTTGAGATGATTTATGAAGTAAGGCACATAAATGTGACAGGAGATAAATTCACAGTTGATCTCAAGCAGATGTAGTGCTCTTATAAGAGTTGGATGCTCATTAGCATTCCATACTACCATGAAATTACATGCATCAAAAGTAGAGATGAAGATTTTGTAGATTAGGTTTCTCCCATGTATATGAAGGACACTTACCAGGCTTCTTATAGACCAGTCATATATCCAACCAATAGTGAAAACTTATGGGAAGAGACGTTATACCCCAACATACTACCACCACCATTAAGAAGAGCAACAGAGAGGTCTAAGAGAAGAAGAAACAAAGATATTTATGAAAAGAGAAAAGATACAACAACTATTAGTAGGAAAGAGCTGTCAAATAAATGCTCAATGTGTGGTAAATCTGGCCACAACAAATCCTCATGCCCAACTTCATCAACATCAAGACAACTTGAACAATCCCAAACACAACCAATCCAACCTTAATAATCCCAAACACAACCAATCCAACCTTAACAATCCCAAACACACCAACCCAATCAAGACAAGTCCAAACACAACCAACCCAATCAACATAATCTTAAACACAACCAACTCCAAGAGTTTAAACTATGATTTCACCAAGAATAACCCAGCACATGAACTCATAATCTCGAACACAACCAATAACAAGAATTCAAATTAGGTTATCACCACGAAGAACCCAAACCCAAAATTCACAATCCCAAACACAAAACTTCAAACAAGGCTATCACCAAGAAGAACCCAAAACTAAGTTGCAATAGGCCAAACATAACCAACCATTAGAATCTAAACAAAGGTGTCAGTAAGAAGAGGCATTGCAGCATTTCAGGGACCACCTACAACATTTCAACCACTGAGAAAAACCACACATAAGCTGCTCATAAAGAGAGAAAAATTAGGATGTTGTTTGTTGTATTTTGGATGGTGTTTTTGTATTTATGATGTTATGTTGCTGCCTTAGAAATATTTATTTTGAATGACAATTATGTATTATGGATGGCTATTATGTATTTTGGATGGCTACTATGTGTTTTGTTTGGTTTAATGAAGAGTATTAAGACTTTATCACCATTTTGGTTAATTGACCTTTTATGTTTAATCAAGGAATTTTGTGATATTCTATCTAATTTTCAGGTCTATTTTTTTTACAGTATACTGATTGTAACACACGGGTCATTGAAGTCTCGATTTGTGTAACAAACAAATCCTTTAAGTCTTCTCTAGAGTGATAAATATGTCCTTATTGCAACATAAAATTGGACAAAATCTAACAACATCAAAATTGACACAAACATATCATTTAAAAATGCTTACTTCAACATCAAATTGGACAAAACTAAACATCATCATTGAAGAAAGTCATTACTACATAACACTAACAAATTGTCTTACATCACTAACATCAACATTAACCATAATCACCACTTATTGATCAAAATACACATCAACACTACAAAAATCATAACTAAAAACATTATGAAAAAAACTAGCATCTTCAACATGTTTTTCATAACCTCCTTAGTGTAGTTGTCATTTTCATGGATCTTCTTATCATCTCTATGGATATTCTTAATGGTCCCTCTAAGTGTGTTGATTTCTACATCCTTTTTCTCACAATTTAAACATCTTAAAGATTGAGACTTCTGTATTAATGGTTGCCCTTCATCATTGCACTCTTTTTCAAACCACTTAAAATAGTTGCAACCACAATTGGAATATTCATAATGTTAACATATAATAGTTAGCACCTTCAAAAAAGACAGAAGTAGATAGCAATAAACATACCACAAAGTTTCTGCATCCCCAAAAGAGCTTTCCAAACTTTTGTCTTTTCTTCCTAACTGTTTGTATCACTGCTTTAGCTCTACATGAACGTCTTGGTGCGATTTCTCCATGAGTTGCACTCGAAATAAAGGAATGACAGTTTGGACTTCGTGAATTTGACCCATTTGTATCATATGAAGTAATTGTTGGAGAAATGAGAAGATGAATTTGATTGGAAAAAGATGAATACAACTCTAGGGATTTGATGGAAAAGAAAGTGATTTTGTTTAATTACTTAAAGTTAAATTAAAAACAATTACATGTCATCATGTAACAACCACCTAAGCAATGTCAATGTCAGATATGCGTTTTTGGAACAGAATCGTTAAAAAAGGACAACGATGTAGACGTTATATAATTTAAAGGACTGACTTGTAAAAAAAAACGTAATGGATCAACTTGTTACAATTAAATAACTTATAGGACCTCTGATATAATTTTCCATCTCACATATTAATGTGTATGATTTAGATAAAAATGTATCATAATAATCACTTTTCCCAAGATAAAAACAAAAGAAAACTTCATAAGTAAACAAAGCAAATAAATCTGCCCTCGCCCCAAAATTAACGGAGAAAATCCGATTTAATTGGAGGCCGGTGCAGGGTGGGAAAAATCTGATTTTTATATACGAGGGCAGGTGCAAGGGCGGGAGATGTTAGTTCATGTCTCGTACCACCCCCGCCTCACACTTGTCTATTAAATTTAATTTAGTTTCTTTCTTTTTAATAATTTTATTACTCATTTACACTTCTTAATCTTACAATATCTTACTAATTTAAATTATTATTTATTTGTTTGAAAATAAAAATTAAATAAAAATGATCAAGCATTATGATTATTTTTAAAATAATTAATTATTTAGTTAAATTATTAATTTTTATTATTATTAAAACAAATATAATTTTTTAAAATATATATATATATATATATATATATATATATATATATATATATATATATATATATATATATATATATATATATATATATATATATATATATATATATATATATATATATATATATATATATATATATATATATATATATATAATGTATTCGAGTGGGGTAGGTCGGGTGCGAAAAAACTCGTTATTCAATAGGGATGGAGATGGAGGACCAATTATTAATCCCGACCCCGACTGAATTTAGGAACAGAGACGAGTCTAGATTTTAAAGGTGGAGATGAGTCTAAGTCTACTAAAACCGACATTCATCCCATTATCATGCCTATGCCTATTCATAAGGATAACAATTGTTTATATAGATAGAATGTTTTTTAAATAAGCTTTATACAGAATGTTAATATTACCTACGTAGCAAGCACATTTCCCCGTGTCATTCACATAATTTTAAAAAGTACGCATACGTAACGGATTTTTTAGGGCATTGCAGTGGGGCAAATTTCTTACAATATTCATGTATGTTTAACAAACTTTTCTAATCTATCAAAAATCAAAACTAGCTTGGTTGTGATGCATGCCAAGGTGGATTTTTTATAGTAAAAATCAGGCATCCTTTGCACACAATAAAAATTAATTTTGAGTCAAATAAAATCATAATAAACGCCAAAGCTCTTTCTCTTAAAAGTTTAACATTGTGGCGTGTTTGAACTCAATTTCTAATTAATCTAGAAGAGATCCATTACTATCTCATGCTCATGGATATGCCACTGTGACTGCAAGTGCGGAAGGTGAAGGTGAATGAGAATAAGCCTATACATATATTTATGATAAGAATCGGCCTAACTAATCGAAAGTATTTTGTTATTATTACATACATTAAATGGAAGTACAGAATCACCAGAAAGCTAATTGATCATAAGCTGGAAAGTGGCATGTTATAGAAAGTAGCATGAGTAAGATAAAGCAAATTCCCAGTTTTCTTCAGTTTAAATTCAAGTGCAACTACTGTCAAATTTCTTCCACTCTTCACCACAGAAGCATTAGCCACCACTTCTTCCTGCACATGCATATAGTGCAAATTCCATTTATTAAGTGTTCAAGCATGAAGAAGGCACATGAAAATAAAAATGTTACTTTAGCATTATTTCTAAGAGCTAAAAATATATATATACAGTTGGATCTCTACGATGCTTTACTTGGCCTTTTCATTCAGCCCCTCTTTAGGAAACTCTTTCCAGCAACCCATAACCAGCGCCAATACCAATCTAACCACTTGGAGAACACTCCCTTAAAAGCTAGCTACTAAGGGAGAAGAATCAAACTACTTAAATACTCCACCAAACATTCCATACTAATTGATGCGAGACTTGACAGCGGGTAATACCCAAGTACCGATTAAATTCATAGCTTCATCTTGTTGACAAGTTTTCTTTTTATAATAGAAAATCTATAACATTTTTTAGATAATGTATTTTGATAGCTCAATTGATGTTCTAAATTGTAATCTAGGTTGTTAATTTCGGATAGCGGCGAGTGGCGCCGGACCCCCAAAGTGCTATTGTGGTCCTAATCACACTAAACCAGATTACAAAAAAGCAATTCTAAGAGGGAGTGCTAAGCAAATGAAGTAGCTGTTTGCTTTTTTATGTCCTGAGCTTTGCTCTGCTGTTTCAAAATGCAGCTGAGGATAAATCATCGCAATTCTACATACAGCATAATGATCCATTCTAAAGGTTCGAACTCAATGCCATTTATCTAACATATATGAAGCACATATACTTCAAAAGGGTCAAAGTATCCGTGCAACATTTGTATTATATGATACTGATATGCATCCGAAATTTCCTGACATATATCCAGAAAGTATCCAAAATATCTTTTAATTCATTTTAAAATGTTTCCACCAGTACTTCTCAGACACATCTTCAATACATCTTTCCAACTATAGACAAAATTGTGACTCCCAAAATGCAACTCACATTGCATCAAATCCTGTTTTTCATGAACGAACAAAGCATCTAGAAATAGATTTCCATTTTGTAAGAGAAAATGTTCAAAAGGGTGCGTTGAAACTTCTTCATATATCTACACAAAACAGTTAGCGGATTTTCTAACAAATGCCTTAGGTCCTCCAAAGTTCAATTCTTTTGTCTCCAAGCTTTGAATGATAAACATTTACCATGGTCAAGCTTGTCGGAGGATGTTGAATGACAAAGAAAATGATGATGAAGACTTAGAAGACAAGTTGGTGCATCATATGAAAAAGGAGTATGATGATCTAAAGTAGCTTGCATCACAAGTAATATCAGCAAAAGCCTAAGAAATCAGTTGTAATAACTCGTATCATACATCAAAATTCAGTTATAGCAGTTAGTTATGATTGTAGGTGATTAGGGTTAAATAGCTTATGATGTACTCCACTTAGAACTAGTATAAAGGTTTAATGCAGAGCTATTTTCTCTGATTCTCTCTTGTTTTGGAATTTTCAATAATCCAAAATAATATTTAATTCATTTTAAAATATTTCCACCAGTACTTCTCAGATACATCTTCGATACTTCTTTCCAATGATAGACAAAATTGTCATCTGGATATGATACATCTTGATACTAACTACAGACACAAAATTGTATGGTTTCTTTTTGTGACATTTTCACATAAGCAAAAAAAAATTCTAATATAGTTGAAGGAAAGATATGTAACTGTAGTGTGTTTGGAACCACAGTCTGACTTTGATGTGTGGTAATTGCGAAACTACAATAGAAGCTCTGTAGCACCGAAACCTCTGGAAAAAAAGTGTGTCAGTATCAATGTCCGTGTCCTAAAACAACACTGACGCTAACACTTGTGATAACATTTAATTTATTCATTTTTTAAAATTATTACTGATGTGTATGTTTCGGTATTAGTGTCCTATTTCTGGTGTCTGAGCTTCATAGACCAGAAGCTTAACATATGGTGAAAATGTTGCAAACATAAAAACAAACACAAGCTAGTATTGCCATGGACATCATAGGAAAGAATCATTTATGAAAACAAGAACTCACATTTGCTGGAGTGGCAGAGAGGTAAGAAATGCTAATTTCCCCAAGAAAAAGTTCTTTGTCCTCAGCAACTACAGTTCTAGCACATGCAGTTGCCAAAACCTCAACCAATGACCCAACAGTCCCTCCATGCAGTGTTCCATAGCTATTCTGAAATTCCAACAAAGAGTAAATTGGAGGAACTAGGATAAATTAATATAGGGTTATCCATGGAATAAATTGAAATTCATACAACATAGCATAAAGTAAGAAAAAAAATTGTAAGATAGAGAGAAAATGAGGTTACACAGATAGGTGGTTTGGCGATAACAGTACAAGAGATTCGACCAGGTTTGATTTGATCGACTTTGATGAAATTTCGAAGGAAAGAGTCGAAGAAGCCATTGGTGTTGCAATTTTCAGGAACGGGAACGCCAAAACTCATAAGCTTGGCAAACTTTAGAGTCTCGGAAACGTGTTTTGGATCCATTTCCGGATATATTTTAACCGACGGAGTTTCAGTCACGGTGGTGGTGGTGGAAAGAGAAGGTTTCGTAGCCATGGTAGTTGACTTTTTTTCTGTCTAGTGAGATAATTTGTTATCTTTTAGTTAATTGTTTTATTTTGAATCTTGCATATTTTTAATTAATAATTGGTTATGTTAATTTTCTATATTACACGAAACTTACACAAACACACTTTAATATGGACATAATTGCAGGTGATAGCTAAAAACTTTAATTCACCAAATAATTTGTGGTCAAATTTTCTAATATGTATTTTTTTCATTAAATAACTTGCAATCAAGTTTTTTTTTATATACTTTTTCTTTACTAAATAATTTGCAATTAATCATTTTGGTATGTAATTTTTTTTTTGCCGGTTAAATTATGTTCTGGTATGGGCCCAACCTCGGCAGGCCCAATACCGCGTACGGCCCCACAGGCGAATCGGGCACGCCGGGCACGTGCATCCCTCAAGACGAGCAGGGCAGGTCGTCGAACACAAGCAACGTCCCAACAACCTTCCATCATCCACCACACCAGACGAGCAGAACCGTCCCCGGCTCACCAAAGCGCGGCCATGGTCCCTCTCCTCCGCGGGGAGAACAACGCGCTCCGGAGTATCTCGCGAGCTCCCCTCCGCGGGGAGAACAACGTGCCCGGCGCACGTTCTCCACGTGCTCCCCTCCGCGGGGACACGTCACCAGCCAACTGCCCACCTCCGAAAGAGCAGGTCAAACCCACTTTCCGGAGATCTAGGAGCGGTTGAACTAGGGCGAATACCACGTCCTGGTCTTCACTACGCCACGTAAGCCCTAGCAGTCATTAGGGTTGGGCCTGGTCATCCAGTTCAGCCCTAATGACCGTTGGCCCAGCGCTGGGGTCTCTCTATAAATACCCTCTTCCTCAAGAGGGTCAGGTAACTCTCTTCTTGCCCCTTTTCTGTATTATTGCTTCCACTCTGCCCAACTTCTTACTTTGGCATCGGAGTGTCTTGCAGGTACACCCCCCTTCTCCTTCTCATCGCCGGTGAACAGGTAGCCGTCCAGTAGCGCGTGGCCATATCGTGACCCCCTTCTGATCAGGTCAGATCAGTGGCGCCGTCTGTGGGAAACTGAAACTTCCCCGTTACTCCGAGCAGAAAACCAAAAGTTTCACCAAACCTCCACGATCATGGCTAGTCCACACCGCGACGACACTCCGCACGACCTTGCGCCCAACGTCGCCACCAACGGGAAGCAGACAGGAACGACACGTCCGACGGAAGCCGACGAAAGGGACGGGCAAACTGCTTCACCATCATCCGCGGAACGGCCCCTTCAGGCCGATCACCGCCCCCCGAGCCCGCCAGCGTTCCACCCCGTTCCCATCCCGGCGGGAGCAGATCCGACGGTGGCCGCTCTCTTTACGGCCATCAACCAGACGAACCAGCTGCTGTTCCAACAAAATGCGAGAATTGGAGCATTAGAACGCATCGGCCCTCCGAGGTACCCCCAGCGGGAAGACCAGAACGGAGGTTCGAGGAGTCCCTCACCTCGACCCAGAAACCGCCGACCGCGGCTGGAGAGACACCGCCCGCAGGCGACACAAGAACGCACCAGATCCCCGGCGAGACACGTTCGCGGGAGGAACCAGAACGCCGGGGCGATCCCAACCGAGGACCCCCGAGGCGAGAACTCAGGCAGGAGATTGAGAACTCGAAACCAGGGGCACACCTTGAACGGCTCATCTCCCCACAGATCCCCGGCGCACAGCGACGAGGATGATTACCGCACCCCGCTATCCCGGGAGATCATGGCTGCCCCCATACCCCAGGGGATGGAGAAACCACCGACGCTGTCGACATACGACGGCACCTCCGACCCGGACGATCACCTGGAAGACATAGAGGCTATGCTCGACTACCGAAACGTCCGGGGAGCTATCAAGTGCAGACTCTTCCCGACGACTCTGAGGAAAGGCGCTATGACCTGGTACAAAAGTCTGGAGCCCGAATCAGTTACGTCGTGGAGGGTCTTGAAGGACCTGTTCTCCAAACACTTTACGGCGTCCCGACGTCACCCGAAGACGGAAGCAGTCCTCGGGGCAATCATCCAAGGCCCCGACGAACCTCTCCGAAAATACATCGAAAGGTTTACTCGGGAAGCCGTGCAGGTGGCAACTTCCGACGAAATGAAACGCTACTTAATGGAACAAGGCCTGCGCCACGACTCCAAATTCTACGAGGCCGTAGGCATACACCGGCCCACGTCCCTCCAAGATTTCCTCGACAGAGCCGCGCATTACATCCGATTCGAGGAAACACAGGCGGCCAACTCCGCTCGCGACACTCGAGACAGAGAGGCCCCCCGCGGGCACCGAGACGACGGAGCTTCGAGCCATCGACGAGGAGGAGACCGCCGTCGGGAAGACCGCCCCCGCGAACCCCGCGCACCACGCGGCCCGGCAGGAAGATTCACAGAGTACACAGCCTTGGTCGCTTCACGCGAACGCATACTGGCCGAATGCGCTAAAACCGAGTTCGTTCAGGGAGGTGTCCGTTTTCCGCGACCAACGCCGCCCAAACCCAACGTGGACAAGTCAAAATACTTCCGATTCCACAGGACCCACGGGCACGTGACGGAAGACTGCATCCATCTCAAAGATGCGATCGAAATCCTAATCAAAGACGGGCACCTGAAGCAATACACCCGAGGAGGTGAACCACCCAGGCCAGAGGCTCCGGAAGCTAAGAAAATCGAGGAACTCCCCTCTCCAGAGGACAGCGGCAGGCTCCAGGTCGCGTTGTGCGTCAGCCGCCCCGAGGATTGGTTTGCGAGCAGAGAATTCGGCATCCCCGAAGGACCCAACCTAATCGACGAGCCAATCCGACCAATCAGCCGATGAGAATACTTCCCCAGAGCCATGGTCATCTCTGATGGGGCCACGAGGAGTCTATCCATAGGATCTGTGAAAAGGAAATTCGACGAGCTCATCGCGAACAACTCCGGCAAAATGAGCACGCTCGACAAATTCCGAGGTCGCTCCAACCCGATCACATTTTACCTCGAGGAACTACCCGGGGGATCTCCCAATTCCAACATACCCTTGCTCATACGTGCCCGGATGGCAAACTTCGACGTCAGGCGCCTCCTCGTCGACGGCGGGAGCTCGGTTGACATCATGTACTCACATCTGTTCACAACTCTCCAGCTCGACGAATCCAACCTCTCTCCCTACGTAGGCTCCGACCTTCAGGGGTTCAACGGGACGACGACGAGACCTTGGGGATACGTGGAATTGAAAGTCACCTTCGGAGAAGAGGAAACAGCCAGGGACATCAGCGTCCGTTTCTTAGTCATCGAATGCCCGTCCCTCTATAACTGCATCCTGGGCAGGACGACGATAGCAGAACTCACCGCGGTACCCTCCACCGTCCACCTGAAGATGAAGTACTACACGAGAAGGGGAGCCGTGGTAACCCTCAACGGAGACATCGAAGCCGCTCGAAGATGTTTCGAAGCCGCGCTGAAAGGCCTAGACTCCATCGCTCCATAGACCAAAAAGAAAGCGTCAAGCGCTACGCCAAAGGACAAACCAACGGAGCTGGTCGGATCCGTTGAGCTCGACAGTCGCTTCACCGACGAGCTCGACAATAAAACAAAGACCGACGAAGTCAACGGGCAGCCCTCACACCCAGTGCGCCCCATCCCGGATGGAGAATTCGAACTCATTCCCCTCGGGGAAGACATGAGCAGAACCGTGAGGATAGGCGCAGGACTCCCAGACCTCGCGAAACATCAGCTCCAAGCCTGCCTCCGTGAGAATGCCGACCTCTTCGCCTGGAGCGCCGCAGAAATGCCGGGACTCGACCCCGAGGTCGCCTGCCACCAGCTGTCCATCAACCCAACCGCAAAGGCCGTTGTACAACGCCGACGTCGCCAGTCCCCCGAAAAATCGGCAGCGGCCGAACAAGCTGTAAAAGACCTCTTAGAGGCAAATTTTATTTCGGAAGCCCGGTATTCAACCTGGCTGTCCAACGTTGTACTCGTTAAAAAGAATAATGGAAAATGGCGCATGTGTGTTGACTACACTGACCTCAACCGGGCATGTCCTAAGGACGCCTACCCCCTCCCCAATATCGACAAGCTCGTCGACAACTCTGCGGGCTTCAAGCTCTTGTCCTTCATGGACGCGTACTCGGGATACAACCAGATCCCGATGGCCGAACACGATAAACAAGCCACGACCTTCATGACGGTGTCGGGCAATTACTATTACAACGTGATGCCCTTCGGCCTCAAAAACGTTGGGGCCACATACCAGCGGATGATGAATCGTGTCTTCCGCGACGAAATCGGGGACATGCTCGAAGTATATATGGACGACATGATCGTCAAATCCGGCGCGGAGGACGACCACGTGGCACACCTCCAGAAGGTCTTCAAGACCGCGAGGTCATGTCGCATGCGTTTTAACCCGGAAAAGTGCACCTTCGGCGTCTGCGCCGGTAAATTCCTCGGCTACTACTTGACCGAACGGGGGATCGAAGCCAATCCGGACAAATGCCACGCCTTCTCCAATATCACCACGCCGACCACGAAGAGGGCCATCCAGTCCCTCAACGGCGTACTCGCCTCCCTCTTGCGATTCATCGCGAGATCGGCCCAACACGCCCTCCCATTCTTCAAACTGCTCAGGAAGGAGACCAAATTCGAATGGACGGACGAATGTGAGAAAGCCCTTTGCCACCTCAAACGCGTCCTATCTGAACCACCAGTGCTGACGCGCCCCGTGACGGGCGAAACCCTATACTTATATATGGTTGTGTCCAACGAAGTCGTCAGCGCCGTCCTCGTGAGCGAAGCCGGGGAAGGACAAAAGCCCATTTACTTTACTAGCAAAGCTCTCCACGGCCCGGAAGTCCGATACCAGATGATCGAGAAAGTCGCCCTGGCCCTCGTGACAGCGGCACGCCGACTCCGACATTATTTTCTCGCACACACCATCGTGCTCCGCACCGATCAGCCCATCCGCCAGCTACTCGGCCGCCCCGACATGGCCGGACGCATGCTGAAAT